TAGATAATTTCATAGACAAGGATTTTCCATGTGTATTATTCAGATAGGGGGTCAAGTTATGCTGTCAGAAGCAAAACCTTGGACTTTAAAATCAATTACGAACATTTATAGAACCTATTTATACAAGGCAAGAGTCTTCTAAGGAAAGGGACAAAGCGAGAGACAAAAATGTTACATTTAACTTTTTTTTTGATCTCAGCAATGTTATCCCTTGGTGATTTTATCAGACTTCAGTATCAACAGATTTTCTCTTTTATGTATGTTTATAATTTCTTTTAGTTTTTAAAGCTAGTTGCATAAGTTAATTGAAGAATATGCACAAATCTCTTTCCCTTGACAAAGTGCACTTGTAGGTAGAATAACAACTTCCAAAAGGACAGTGAGATATACAGAGGAGGTCAAATCCTTTTGTATATATGTATTGAAGGACAAGAACATTCTGTTATTATTTTCTAAAAACAGCTGAAAAGCCTTATGGAATAAAAAAGCTCAGCTTCTAAGAAACATCAAGACCTTCCAGTAACTAAGAACAATAAAACATATCAGACCTGTTTCATTGCTGTAGATCTGGTGATTCATTTTTCCTATTTATTTTAAATTAAATTTTTAAATGCAATTACAATGTTTCCACCTGGTAGGGGAAACAAATAATGAAGATCATAAAAATACAATTCTTTAATGACCTGCCTAGGAAAACAGAAAACTTGGGGAATAAACCAAGAGTTCTGTACAACCCAGCTTCAGGGTCCTAACCTGAACACCACCCTGAGGAAAGTAATCATTATATGCAAAGCAGTATCATTTATCACATTCGTAAAGGTGAAGAAGTAATATCAAGCATTTGGAATTAACCTAACCCTTCAGCACACTAAATGGGTCAGACTAATCATATTCAATAGCAATTTTATACTATAAACACAAGATCCGTTTTCAGCTTTTTCACAGCACCTGAGCAGAATACCGGAGACCTCAAATGAAATGCATAGACATGCATGTAGGATCCAATTCAGTTAAGAAGCTATGAACAGATTTACAGCCTATATAATTTTACATAGGCAGTCTGGAATTGAGAGTTAACATATGACAAAACATGAAATATCCAGGAATTGCCTAATACAACAATGCCAGAAGTTGGCTCACAAGCTAAGAGAGCTGCCATAAGCTGTCTGTGTTCTAGTCTGTGATCTAATATTTATATGAAAAACTACAAGCGCATGCCTTCTGATAAATCACAAAACAGGACAAGTTCCTCTGCATTAGATGTCCAAGCATGGTGTCAGGTGAGCATGACTTGATTTTGAAACTTGAAAGACTGTGATAAGTAGTAAAAAGAGATGAACTTTCAAACTAGGATTTTTCTTAGTGCGTTTAAGTCTAGCTACTCAATCACATATTTGAGAAATTGCATGCCAGCTTGGCTATTTAAACTGCTGAGCATGCAGCAGCTTACATTTAGTTTTACTGGAGGTGGTAAGAACTACATGTTCTGGAAAGTCAAGCTTTGGCTTTCCTCATGAGACACTCAGGAGACTAAACACTGTGTAAATGTTTTGATTGTGGGATCTAGGCCCCAATTTTAGAGCACAAACTTCCAAACAAATGGGAGTACTGGCATTTTTTTGAACACAAAAAAGAAAGTTTTCCAAACTTGAAGAACTAGAATTTCAGAAAATAGGAAGAGCTCTTTTGTCCAAAGGCAAAGACTCCTCTTATTTGAGAACTCACACTGATGTATCCCCACTATAGCAGAGGTATTTTATCACTATGCTTAAAGTAGAATATAAATGAAAATAACCTGTAGATATCTTTTTCTAAAACATAAGATAACTTTAGAATTTCAGAGTTAAAATTAATAAAACAGTTCAAAGCAATTACACTGAGAAAGAAAAAAATCTTTCTCATGCAAATTCTACAGTAGTAAAATTGCAATTTTTTGAAAGAAAAAAGAGTAAAGAAAATAAATCACCAATTTGATTGGTTTCTCAGCATAATAAAGTGCTGAAGCAGCACAGTGGAGGATTTGCTGGACAATTTTCTACACTGAAACTGTCAATTCATTCCAAACCTTAGCAGTGATGGATATTATGGATTGGTATGGATTGCATTTCTCCAACCATCCGAAAGGTCACTTGACAAACACAGCAGGAGTGACCTATTGTTCTTGCCATTGACAATCAGACTGCCATTTGGACAAGTCTTTAAAGTATCACAAATCTTTTCTTCAACTATTAGATGGAAATGTTTGTCTTTGGTTTGTGGCACAATTAAATGCTGGTATCTTAGCAGTTCATGGAGTTCATTGAAGTAGTCTTAATATCTCCTCTGGATCGTACTTGCAAAGCCTCAGAAGCTAATAGTGAATGGATTGCTCCTGAAATGTCAACTACACCACCAAGTAGAATGATCTTTAGGTTGGAAAAGACCTCTAGCATCAAGTCCAACCATGAACCTGGTACTAAGTCCACCACTAAAGCGTGTCCCTAAGTGACATATGTACACATCTTTTAAATACTTTCAGGGGTGGTGGGCAGCCTGTTCCAATGCTTGTCAAACCTTTCTGTAGAGAAGTTTTTCCTAATATGCAATTTAAACATCCGCTGTGACAAGTTGAGGCCATTTCCCCTCTTGATCCCTCTGAAGAGCCTGCCCTCCAGCAGATCAACACTCTCTCCCAACTTGGTGTCACCTGAAAAGTGACAGAGGGTGCATTTGATCTCCTCATTCAGATCATCAATAAAGATAATAAATACTCAGTACCGAGCCCGGGGGACCACACTTGTGACCGGCCACCAGCTGGATGTAACTCCATTCACCACCATTCCCTGGTCCCAGCCATCCAGACAGTTTTTTACCCAGTGAACAGTGGACCTGCCCAAGCCACAAGAAGTCAGTTTGTGCAGGAGAATGTTGTGGGAAATGGTGTCAAAGGCCTTACAAAAGTCTGGGTAGACACATCCACAGCCTTTCCCTCATCCACTAAGCGGGTTACACTGTCAAGAGGAGATTAGGCTTGTCAAACAGGACCTGCCTTTCACAAACCCATGTTGGCTGGGCCCTGCCTCCTGGTTGTCTTTACATGCTGCATGATGGCAAATAAAGACAATCCACTCCATGACCTTCCCTGGCACCAAGGTCTGGCTGACCAGCCTGCAGTTCCCAAGATCTCCTTCCAATCCTTCTTGTACAAGGGATTTACATTTGCTGACTTTCAGTCAACTGGGACCTGCCCAGTTAGCCAGGACTGCTGGTAAATGATGGAAAGTGTCTCGGTGAGCACTTCATCCAGCTTCCTTGGTACCCTTGGGTGAATCCCATCCAGCCATGGAGGATTATGTTTGTCTAAGTGGTGTAGTGGATTGATAACTGTTTCTTCTTGGATTACGGAGGTTCCATTCTGCTCCCTATTACTGCCTTCCAGCTCAGGGGGTTGGGTACCTGAAGAACAACTGGTCTTACTACTAAAGGCTGAGGCAAAGGCATTAAGTAACTCAGCCTTTTCCTCATACTTTGTAACTGTGTTTCCCCCCAGTATCCAGTCAAGGATGCACTTCTTTCACTTTATCTATCTAAAAGCATCTTGTCCAAAAGTTGCTAAAATTATAATAATCTAGTACATAAAAAAGTACTTTTTGTATTTCTCCAACTGAAAATGGTAAAGAGTCTGAAGAAAACTATGTTGGATTATATCAGTTTATATGGAGTTCTCTAGAACCAAGAACATTTGGACAAATGATCTTCTTCAGCAAGTTTCATTGAATAATAACAGACATAATTCAGGGAAAACCCATCAGTGGGAGACTAGCAGGAAGAAAACCAGATAAGATGACACAGTGAAGAATCTCCAGGTTGTGAACACTGAAATTCAGAACATTTCCCACTACACAGAGCTCTGAAAGCTCTAAGCTTTACAGAATTTATGAGCCAAATAAAGTCTGGATGATCAAAGGAGATGGTGTCATTAAGGTACTCTTGGGTATAAAGGAGCCTTCCAGATTGATGTGAGTTAAAAGAGCTGGGGGAAATATTGCTGAGCTGAGGAAAAACTGGCTTCTACTCTTCACATAACATTCATAGGCAGGATCCAAGAGGTGCAGTTAAACTGGGATATTCCATCAATTTTTGGTCTGTTTCTGCTATGCAGCCACATGGATTTCAAAGCAACACAGTATAGTAAAAACACAAATCCTCCACAATTCTGTTGCCTTCAATCCCATTAAGAATTTTGAGGTATTCAAAAGAATCAATCCATGCTAAAGAAGTTCCTGTCTCAGTTTCTCTATGATGCTGGGCAGTGATTTGTAAGCTCATCCTAAAAATTCCTAATTTCTCACAGAAGATGAATCATGATCACTAACCAAATATAGCATTGCTCTCACAGGGGGAAAAAGGATGTAAAAGTGCCTACACCATTCTAAAATCCCAAATGTTCCTGTAATGAACTGTGTATCACTAGGGGGCTAAAGCTGTCTTTTGAAAGTATAGCATTAAATGTCAAATTCATTACTGACATGACCTGAAATCATTAGGTCTTTCTTTCTAAACTAGCTGCATATGTGATGTTTAGAATCTTATATGTGTCATTTTCAGATCAAAATGAAACCACAGAGAAAATATTGCGCTTTATTATTGTGGGTGTCATTCTTTGAAAGAATGACTCAGGCATTGATATTTAGACTACTTTCAAGTCAAATATTTAAAGCCTGCATCCTAACCATAAGCACACTTACTGACATATTGGAAGGTCACTGGAACATGAGAAGATAGAGAGAGGTCTAAGCAAAAGACCTACAATCATCTGCAAGGGCGGAAAGGCAACTGCAAGAAAACGGAACTGTTTTCTTGTATTTTCATCAAAGTATTGAACAGGTCCCAAACAGTTTCAGATGTATTAAAAATCAGGCCTGTGGCATTTTCCTCTTGCACATTCATATTTCATTAGGTGCAATGACTTTATCTTTTCTCCAGTTAAAAATGCCATTCAAATTGGCTGCTATACTTACTCCTTCACTGTCACAATGTAGCCGTACTCTTTCTCCTCAGAAGACTTCACTTCAAGTTGTAAGCCTTGTCCCATATTTTTCTGAGGCTTTTCATAGGAGTTTCCATCCTGCATTAAAGCATTCTTAATCCAGTAGCTCGGGTCTTTGGAGTCAGATTCACTGTTCTCTGCAGTTGTCAGCTCCCTTGAGAAAGTCTCACTTTTTACATTTTCCACACCAGCATTTATTTCTTCTGAAGAGTCAGTTTCTTCAGATTTCTTGGTTTCTATCTTAGTAGATTCTTCAGGGCCAAGGTCTTTGGGCACATTTTCAGACAGTGCATTCTCATTCAAGAATTTAATTAGTTTTGCAGTGTTCTCCTATATGAAAAAAAATATTATTTTTAAAACTAAGCACAGGAATGATATACTGAACCAAAACTAGATTAAATCTTTCAAATTCTAATTTATATGGCAGAGTCTACTCATACAACTGTTGCATGGTCATTTTCATAATTTCTGTAAGCTGCCAGACTGTGTTAAGAACATAATGTTTATTCAGTAATAATAAAAGAGAGCATTAAACTATGCCACTATATTTTTCCAGAAGTTTTCATGTGTCTGTGTGTTTAAGTATTGATGAAAATAAAACTTTATTATCAGCTAAGTTAATGAAAAGGAGAAAGAATATAAATATCCATCAACATGTCTATGTGTTGGGCCTGGAAACATGAAAACTTCTTAGGTCTCACCAGTTATAACAGAGGAGAGGGAACAGATATTATATGACCAATTCTATTTCACTTGTTCATCTCTAGAAATGGTGACAAACTGTATGTGAGTGATCCAATAAGCTAAACATATGATCACAGAAAAAAAAAATCTGTCTAATAAATCAAAACAATAATCAAATAAGCAAAAGTCAAAACATGTGCCTGGAACAATTCCTTAGCTGGTTTCATTACATAACTTTATTGCAGCCAAGCATTTGGGAGCAAATAATGGTTAATGGGCACTTTGTGCTCTGTGTCACAGTTTATTCTAGTCTATCATATCCTCGATTCAAACTGCCACTGAGAAATCTATACATGGGACCCTCTGTAAGTCTGTTGTAAATACAGCACTTCATTCCTTGAAGAATTTCATCTGGTGGTTAAAGCTTCTGCCACATTGTTCATGTGTGTGTTTTCCTTGCTTGGTAGAAGGGTGGAAGAGATTTTACTGTGAACACGAGAGGATTTGCCCGTTTATGGTCTCAGAGTATTAGCTCTTGACAGAGTATATAGTAGGAGAAGTTTCACAGAGTTTTTAAAAATATTCCTTTGACATTTTTCTGCTCCACGAAACCCAGAAAAAGAAAGATGAATATACTTCAAAAATGGCTGGATATTGGAGAAAAGTCCATAGGATACAATTCAAAGCTTATGAGGAATATTGTAAAAGTAATCTGGATAAATGCTAAATTTGATGTTAATAGCTAGGGTAAGAGATGTAATGCCCAGAACTTTTGAAATGTCTCTGATATTCAACGAATTAATGGTAACACATGATATTCAATGAATTAATGGTAACACATAAAACTGAATGACAGATCCCATGAAAGGAGAGGGAATTTTGAAATACAGCCCATCCCCATCCCAACACAAACCTTCAGAGGGAATATATTTACTCATTCACTTCTGAAAACCGGTAAGATTATCTGGGTAAGGATGCTTACGTTCACCAGAGCTAAGAGCCAAAGGACAGGGAAGAGTGTTTTCAAGAACACCTCAATACTCAAAATTTATTAACTTGAAGAAAAACCTTAATTTGCCTGAACTTTGGGAATCTGTTATGAATTATCTCTATTTACAAATTAAAGAAAGGCAAAAAAGGACTTGATTTTGCTTTTTTGAACAGCAAAACTAATTTTGATTAAGATTTAAATCAACGTTCATTTGATATTTCAATGCATCAACAACAACTTGCCTATTTGTGATATTGAATCATAGCCACAGAAAACACAGAACAAGTCTTACATTTCAGAATTGTGTCTTTGACCTTCACTGCATAGAAACCTGATATTCTGAGATGAAATACTTGTTTTATTAAAATACTGGTACTCTACCTCTTTATCAGTTCTTGCACTGGCTTCATGCACTCCATTGTCTGTAGGATATGAAAAACACCAATATATAGTTATGAAGGGCAAACATGATGTACAAAACAAAGACTCTCATAGGCTGCTTTGTAGCAGTGGCCTTTTTATGTAATTTAAACATTAAGACATCAAAGCTGAAAGGGCACAGTAAAGAGCACTGTATAATTTGTTATTGTTATTCTAACCCCACTTTGATAGCAAATTAATGCAAGATCAATAGACAGAGTACTTCAAGAGCCTAAGTAATAGTGTTATTTTGCTAATTAAGTGTCCAGTTGTCATATCAGTTAAACAATATCTAAGCAAAAAACTCCTATGAAATTGCTCTAGGTGAATGAACATTTAGAGTAAAAAAAAAAAAAAGGAAACGTATACATCCCTCATACATGTTTTGGTGGAAGAAGATGACTTATTTCAATAGATATCATTCACCAAAACCATATTACAGTTCAACTACAGTGATGATATTCAGTCACTTCCTTAACCTCAGTCAAATAATGCTGGCTTTTCGATGTATGAACTGGGTATTATTCTTCTTTCTCAGCGTGATTTGGTTTGGTCCTTCTAATATATAAACAGATTTGGCAATTAAAATAACCAGAATATTCCTAACTAGTAAGGATTTCAGTATAACACCATGAAAAAAAGACAGTAAGTTAAAATAACTGTTTATGATTTATAGTATACATTTCTGGTGTCCTAGATATTATAACATTCCTAAAATAGAGAATGACTGACTGATAACAAGTCCCACTGTGGTATCCACTCATTAATGGCAATTACTGTAGCTCCTGAATCTGCATCACCAGGAAAATATATATGCAGACAGAAGCAAATAACCATAATAACTCTTTTTATTCCCTAAGCAGGAAAGGGAATGAGTGGTTTTGTACCTCTACTTGTCTCAGATTTTCTTCCGCAAGTAATTGTGGCACATTAAAGAATAAATACCTGTAAAACATTTTTTCCCATGTTTTGAAATACATCTTGTAATATAATAATTTTCATTATCATTTTGCTTAAATATCTCATTCTCAAGAATAGGAAATTAGACCAAACAGCATAAAGCGATTTGTATTTCAATATAATTGTGTGTGTAGGGTTATCTTGTTTGAGAAGCTTGAAGGTCAAGTGTTCACAAACAGATTTTTTTTTGTAAATAACCCATTGTAAAAAGAAAAGAACAAAGCTAAAATTCTTCAGCCTTTGGGGAAATACAGAAATTTCCCTCACAACTTCTTTAAAATGGATTTTTAGAAGTCTGGGACTAATGTGAAACAATAGAGGAAAATTTGGGACACCTGGTTTTTTGTTGTACTTAACTCTTATAATGAATACCTGGTATATTAATGCTGTTTTCCATTAATCCCATCTGAAACTCTGCCTTTCCTTGAGAATCTCCTTTCTTTGTTTGTGCTTCTGTTTTGTCTTCTCTGGTTTTTCCAGCACCATTTTGTGTTTCTTGCTGAATGTCAACACTCTGAATTGCAGTGGCGATAGTATCAGCGATCTCATCCAGTTCTGTTGAGCTGAGATTCTCCACATTCACTTGATGTTTCTCTAGGTCCTTCAATACATCTTTAATAAGTGTCTCTGGATCACAAAACAGCACAAGCACATGATTTAGCTGCACACATGAAGCACCTGTGCCTATATCAGAAAGCATCTTTTGTTTTTCCCAAAAGACAGCTTTTCCTTCACAGAGAGCATCTGTTTTCTAAAGGAAGGCATACACATTCATGCTACATTAAATGGATGTTAAAGTTTATGACAAGGTGAATCTGTGTCAGGAATGGGTGATGTATGCCACTACAATCCAGCAAGTTGTCCTAGAGAGAGGGCATAAAATTATCACTTTTTCCTTACAAGAAGAGCATTTCTAGCCTAGACTGACTAAAAACACCGAAGAAACGTGTTGGGGTAGCTTAAATTTTTTTTAGCTGCAAAACAGTGCAAACAACACTACTGTGTCTTAGAGATCAAGTTTCTTTGTTGATTTGTTCTTTGCAAGATGAAGAGCTATACAGACTTCTGGGGAAAAAAAATGAGAGTCAGATATTTTTTCCTTCAATCAAAAAGCTCCTCTTCAGTTAGAAGTGGATATAGATATATATCCATTACATACATGGATATGAAAAAAAAACCCTTCTAAACTTTACTGATTTCTCTTGGAACTTATGTATTTTCTCAAAGATATATATATATATATATATATATATATATAAAACTTGTTTTGGTTTGTCATCTGTGAATGTTTTACCAGTCACATTGAGGAAGAAAACAAAAAAAACCCAAAACAACAAAACAACCTGGATGTGATAAACCTTTTGAAGATAAGAAGATTCAAGGACAATGGATATTAAGGGTGAGTCAGAAGATGGAGCATAACAGCTCTTCAGGGAATGCAGTTTTCTGACTGTATATATTGCATCTATATTTCAGTACCAGTCTGTATAACTCTGCAAAACTCAGCCTAATGTCCCTTGGAGTATGAGAAACTAAAAGTAGGGCTTTACTGTAGCCTACCAAAACCATTTTCAGTCATGCCTCTGTTCTGTTTATTCATTTTGATAAGGATTTTAGCACACACATGCATATGCATGCAAGCAATAAAACTCTTTCTCATAGGCAGTATTGTGTAGGAAGATATGGACTGCTTTTAAATCTCTGTTGAATGTATGAATTTACATAAAAGCAGTGTGAAGACAATATTCAGTGTTTTTTCTCAATAGTGACATTCTCCCTGTTAAGCCCTGTGATTGGATGTGTTCATCATCATCTTTAAACAAGACTTTGGGACCATGCTGTCAGCTTTCAGGTTTACATAATGTGAATTAAAAAGTAGGAAAGCAGGAAAAATAAAACTGATGTAAGAAGGGCTAAAAAGAAGGATTTATTTTTTTTTTCATAGCAAAGCAGAAAGAAGTAGGTAGAGACCAGGAAAAAGTAGGTGTAGTCAAGAAACTTTTCTGCTCCAGGGAAGAGGCAGTAGAATATCTCTGATTTTGTAGGGAGACAAGCATCAAGGATTATTTATCATTGGCAAAAAGATGCCAAGACTTTGGATACATCTGTCAGCTTTTGGACCCCTCAGTGTTAACTGAAGAGGTGAGAGCCAGCAGCTAACTATCAGCTTCCCACTGCCATCTCAAGGCAAAGATTAACTTCCTCCAACCTGGCCCATAATTCAACAACCCAACAAAATGCCATTTTCCCTTAACTAGTTAGTCCATATAAAGCAAAAAAACTTAAACAGCTTAAATAATAGGTTCATTGTGATTCAAAGAGCATGTTGACACATGGGGAAGGTGGTTCTGATTTACTTTCTATTCCAGGTGAAGAGGAAACATCTTTCCAATAATCCACCATGATGTTATTACAAAATTATACTGATTTAATTATAAAATTCAGCTGACTTTTTAAGCTGTGAACTTTTGAAATTTACCTTAAAAAAAGATAGTTTTAAGCACATTTACATGCAACTATCAATAAAAAAGACAGGTTAAATCTGTGATGTTACTTCAAACTGTGACAGCCGACAAAGATTTTGCTACCATACCGAAATAGTGGAGTGCTTTGTACAGGAAAGTGTTCAGCAATGAGTCAAAGACTTAAACTCACAATTTGTGCCAAATTCTCTTGGCCAAGATACTTGGAGGCAGCAAAATTAATATGGAAGTTTGATGGAAGTTTAGCAACACTTCAGAGAAAACTTTGAATACTTTCCTTTCCACATTTCATTTTATTGTATCGATCCCCTTTATGAATTTAACAATACAGTAAAAACATAATGACCAAATGCTTTCATTTAGAAAGGTGATCTACAAGAGCAAATTGATCCAAACTGCAACTAAAGTTTTCAATAGACTTGATTAACCTGAGTTCAAGAAACTTTTTCAAGAAGCACAACAACTACCTGGCAGATGGCCACTTGCATATGGCAGCAATGCTGAAAATTAAGCTGTTGGAAGAAACAGTACTGCCAGATTACCACAGGAGCCTTGTGCCTTCTTAGGTATAATTTCTGTTCTTATGTTTTATAGAACTATTGGGCAATATCTTGACAGAAAAACCTAAATTATTGAAGCAGAGCTAATAAAGTCAGAAAAGAGAATATATGTCAGATCCGAATCCAAACTAAAATTTTACAAATAAAACATCATTGAAGACAAATCTTAAAAGAGAATTATATTTCAGGACATATATAATTAAAAGAGTTATATTAATGTAACACTACTAGATTTTTGTTTATTTCATTTGATTCAGAGCCAGCTGTCAAGACCAACTACTGAGCTGCTCAACAACTGCAGTCAATGTAGCTTTGTCATTTCCATTCCGTTTCCTTTTTTCCAAACTAACTTTTTTCTGTACCTATTGTCTTAGCCAAATCTTATCTCTCCAGCCCACTTCCATAGGTTCATAGTCAATTAAAAAAAAAAAAAGGTTCAATGTCAAACAAAATGGGAATGGGGGAACAGGGCAGGGAATAACATGAGAAAAAAAATGGCCACAGGCCCTCATCCATAATGCTGAGATAAGGCTCACTGCAGGTCCTCCTGGTTCACTAAAACGCAATGTTATATAGTGGAGCCTCCTGTTCCTCCCATGCTGGTGGGAGGAACATTCCTGCCCTGGCCATTGCCACCTGGGCACAGTTCATCAAATGAACTCCTAAATGCCTGTGTTGAAATGAGTAAAACTTTGGCATTATATGCTACTTTTGGCATATAATTATATTAAGCATATAATTTAGGACCAAAGGCAACAACCAAAGCCATTAAGTATGAGGAACTTCATGTTTTTAGTACACTAGGAGGGACAGTCACCAAAGTGTAACAGCCTGGTGAAATGTAGGTCTACGTGAAGAATCTTGATAACTTCATGAGGCTACTGATACGATGTTAATCCATGTCCATATTAAATATGGATGTTTCCACTTCTTGTTATGGCACTTGTTCATGTCTGCAATAATTTCCAAATTATTGGATAAGGCTGATACACAGATAAACATCAGTGCATCTGTTTACAAACACCTTTCGGTAATACGGTGAATGTATAAAATCTGAAAATATTGTTGGAGAAAGACTAAAAAGCAGATGGATACTACAATGGTACAGCACTTAAGCAGCAAAGGTGCTCGAACATACACGTACTTGTGCACTTTATGCTCTCCAACTGACCCCTTCTGAAGGGACTCAGCAATGTCAGCCATGTTTCACAGGGCTTGTACTACAAACCAGATTTCTCCCTTAGCTCCAGCTTTCCACGTGAAGAATGCAAGTTGCCTTTCATAGTTGCCTTGGAACCATGATGACAATAAAGGCATATATACCCTAGGTGATGTAATTTTTAATATAATTTTTAGTATAATTCCCTAGTAGTTAACATCGGCACCTTATGAAGGGAAAACAGCTTTTTATTGTATAGCAAGTAAATCATGCCTCATACTCCACTGGCACAAGTACCAAAGCCAACTTGCCTGACCAACACATGGTATGGCAGCAGTAACTTTGTTAGAAGTCTCACACAGTGGTCTGTCTTCTTCAACCCCATCACCCCACTGACCACACATTAAGTGTACACAGCAGCTGAGTGCCGTATGGAATGGTGATCCCAGCTCTGCAAGGCAGAGGATGTACAAAAACATCTTTCTTCCATAAACATGGAAGTTTGCTATTTTTTTAAAGACATCTGAATTACTAATTTTTTGACCTTTTCAAAGCAACAGAGAGATGTGTTCTGTAATATTTAACACATCAACAATGAGTAGACTAAAACAAACCACATAAAACCAAGCTAAATTCTAAATACAGCTGGCGCAGAAGAGAGATTAACAATTCCAGTATTGCACAGTGACTACAAAGGCAGTACCCACGCACATCACACTACTCCTAGAGGTAACAGCTTCCAAATCTGATAGAAAAATAGCTCCACATTTTCTTCTCTTTTATTTCTCCCTCAGGGTGCCTTGTTAGCAGATTTACCTGCCACTGTTTTGCAGCAATTCTCAGGACTAATCGGCTCAGTACCTTCTGGATTGTTCTCCCAGTCCAGTTCCTTTATCTAATCTTGTGTCAGATGCAGCAGAGAACTGAGTATCTCATGCTTTCCAGCTTTTTAAGAGTTCTGTGGTTTACAGAGTGCAAGAGAGAAACAACCTGCAAGTGTACAAGAACCCTGAAGCACCAGAGAGGTAGGAGAAAGGTTAAAAGCAGAAGGAGATGAAGCAGTCAGCCTGGGAAACCTGTACCCAAACCACCACCATTCCAATGGACAGCATTTTAAGCAATGAATACACTGGGATCTGTCCTCACCACTTACTTATGAGACTATTAAGTGGCTCAAAAATACAAAGGAAACCATATTATTTTCTACTCAATTCATAATGTTATGTCAATGCAACATTTAAAAGCAACTGCCATGGCAGAAGTTCCTACAGGGCATATTATGTATGAGAAGTCAAAGTAGTACAACCCAGTGAATTGTGAAACATGTTATTCCCCGTAAGTGTTAAGCATTTTTTTCCCGGTTGGCTCCTACCAGGAAAGGTGAAGTGGAACAGCTGGAGGATAATGAAACCAGCGTGTGCCTAGTTTGTTTTGAGTCTAGCAACAAAATTGTCTAACCTGTGCAAGAGACTTACAGTGCCACCTGGATTTGATTTTACATTATAGTTCGTTCCTTGAAACCTATTATCTCTGGGCACCATACCAAGAATGCTTTGACTTTTGAGCATCCTGTAGATTGCAAGAATTATCATTCCTCTGCTGCAACTTTGACATTTCTATGTGTTTGTGTGCGTTCTGGTTTTGGGGTTTGTTGATTTTGTTTTAACCAACAACAAAACAAATCAAAGAACATTACACTTTATGGATGATAACTACAAGAGGGATGTAAGGAAATACATATCACCAAAATCCTCTGGGACAGTGGTGACTGCAGTGTAACAGATGCAGGTGCTTGACAATGGCTGAGGATCAATTCTTTCATTTTTCAAGCATTCTGAACCACTGGAATAACATCAATATTAAGATTAATTTAAAGTAACAACAAAATTAATCAGAATTATAAAGTCTATGTGATCCCCAAGATTCATTATACAAAGCAGTGCTTAAAGCTTATCACAGAATCTTGTGGAATGTTACCCTCCATCTTCATTTAAATATTTGTCAAACTATCATGTACAAAAGAAACCAGGATCTGGTAATTTTTAAACAGCATTTGCAAAAAATAGATGAAAATCCAGCAAATGGATTGTTTGTTACAGAATGTCCAGACAAAACTAAACACAACGCCACCCTCCTGTATTAGTCATGGAATTGACAGACTCCTTCCTTCTCCTTGTTCTGTGCCAGAATTTATCTCACTTCTGTGCTTGACTTCAAATTTTACCCATGGTCCTTGAATTTCTAGTTAAATAAAGAGATATGGAACAAAACCAGGCATTTCAAATTACCTTTATACAGTGTGGGATGACTGCACGAAAACAGATTTGATAGCAAAGATATAACCATAATTACGTGCTGTTTGTAAAATGCTTTGAAAATATAACAAGTTACATAAATGCTCTGTCTTACTGAGTGCCATATATTTCTGCATGCATATGGAGGGTGGGTTGAAGAATGTGGGTAGATGTTTGCAGGGAAAGAGTAGTTAGAATGGTGAACATTGTTACTGTCTTATGGTAGATATAAATATGCCAATAGTAGGAGATATATCAACTGTCTAATTTTGTTTTCTTTCTCTCAAAAATGTTCACTGAGCATGAGGGAAACTTCAGACAAGCTAAAATAAGTAAATATCAACTTTACCATCCACTACAGTCAGAGGGTCCTTGGGATCATCCTGGGAAGCAGATTTATGACTCAGCACCTCAGGGGTTGGCCTCAGCACTCCAGAAGCAGGCCTTGGCTGGAACAGCTTCTTCATTTTAAAATCTTCTCCTTTTCCTTTGGCAAAACTTCCATCAAAAGGACTGCCTTGTGTGGAGTAGAATCTATCAGCATAAACCTGAGACCCTTTAGTCCTGCTGTGAGGGCTTTTGTCACTGCTTTGTGCTGACAAGTTCTGGGTGATGTAGGTGTGCAGCGCAGCCATCAGGGTTTTTTGGTCGAGCCCCATTTCTGACTCTGGTGAGAACTTCTCCATCTGGCTCTGGCTGAAGGTCCTCCCACGGAGGTTCTCAGCGAGCTGTTGTTGGGATTTTGATGGACGGGCCAAAGGAGGAGCTCGTTCTTTGGGGTTCCGCCTCGCGTAGTACCTGATAGGATCATTGTAGATGTAGCTCTGGAGAGAGTAGAAGGTGGGAAAAAGGAATGGATCAGTATTGCTTTGTAATGGTTACTGTTGTGCCGGAATCTGAGGTGTAATCCTCAGTGCTTCACAAACCAGGAAAACAATAATTGGAACCTGTAATGCGAATGTCGATTGCGAAGCTCAACATGCGGAGTTTGCTTCAAATTTGGTGTAAATTGTGTAAAACAGTTGATTAAACTATTAAAAGGCCTGAGAAAGAGATTGATCGAACCTGATGTTGACTATGTATGCACTGTTTGTATTCAGTCAGAAAAAGAAAATGTAGTAAATCCACTTTCCCTTTGGTTTTTACTAAAGTTGTGGGGATAACTATTTTTTCAGGTTGCTAACCAAAAAGGAGCATGTCAAATTGAAAATATCATTTTTAGAAGAACACCAAGAAAGTAAAACAATTCTTTGGCATGCATGAAATTTTTCGTTCTATTTTAAATTCTTTTTTTTCCCCACTAAATTAAATGTCTCATCAATCTGTCCTCTGACAGTATAAAAATGTAAAAATAACCTTAAAATTGGTTTTTAATTAATTTATTATTTTAATTAATATATTGTTTTCAACACAGTAAATTAAACAATAATGTAAAAATGTGTTAATCAAGCTAAACCCACATTTTTATTGAAGAAGTACTGGTGAAAAAAAAGTGGAAACGTGAACTTGCACTATTTTTTTCTATTTTCAGTTTCATATTTTCATGGAAACACCAGATGGAAATTATATCTACTGTCATTTAATCCTAAAGACATTTTTGCTATGATCACAACCTTCACTCCCTGCTAAATACAAATTTGAACTGAGAGGTTTACTTATAGCCACAATTATTCCAATTAGATTCTTTGTTTATAATTCCCTTAGGACACTTTGCTGAAGTTGCATCCCATACTATATGCGTGTTGAAGAATGGGTCCTGCTTCTCAGCTGTACTTTCCCGGTGCCACAAACTACATCACAATCTGGGAAACTTAGGACGGGGACTATTTCAGCTCTCACTGCTATAAATTATAATGAATCACTGATGTCCCTGTGCACTGATAGTGTAATTTAAGACAGAGGGAGCTGCAAAATACAGAGAGGGTGAAGAGACTATATGCCCCAGAACAGAGCCATTAGTAGGATTCAGACAGAAAAATCATTATTTATGTATTTCTTAATGTACTTTGTAAAAGCAAAACAAGTAAGGTTGGTTAGCTATTCCAGAGATGAAATAAAACTTTCAGATTTTATCTGGGTCTTTATTCCTGAAGAATAGTTTTGCTCTCCGTCTGAACAATTTTATTTCTTCTGATGACAATCAACGGATTTTATAATAAATATTAATATCTCTTGCTTTCCAATAGGGTTTTCCGCTGCTTAGGAAATGATTGAAGAGGTTCATTACGTGGTTCCATATAATGATCTGTAGGTTTATGGTTTATGCAACTTTATTACAGAGACAAAAGGCACTTTGGCTACTTTGGCTTGTGATCCACCAATGCAAGGCTTTGGGGTTCTGCAGGTGGTGTTAAACATAGAAACGTGCTTTGTGAAAGCCAAGAAACTGGGCTACGCTAAGGCAGTGTCAAAGAATATAGAGCCAGAGATCAAACAGCTTTGTGTATGAAACATTTCAGTGTCCCCCAGGAACTGCATCAAACAGCAGCAGCGCAGCTCTGGTTCAGTGCTCCAGCTGCAGGGTACGCACTGCTCTGATCAACACCGAGGGGGAGCCAGTTGTCAAAATGCAGCTTGAACGCTGTTTACATACTTAATAGCAAACCCTAGACGCGAAAAACTTACAGTCGTATGTATTTCTCTATCAGTGGCAACGGGTCTTTGCATGGGGTAATTAACTCTCTAATGATACTCACTCCTGAGAAGGAGCTGCCGAGGATGGCACAAAGCACCCCCAGACGCGACAAGTAGTTCCCTGAGAATTCACAAAAGCTGCCGCCTGCTTTTCCCACTCGTACTCCCTGCCTGGCTGCGTTTCGGAGGACCTTCTGGGGACAAGGGAACGAAGAACAGGGAGCTGGGAAAGGGAGAATCATGACGGGGGAAGAGGACAGTCTCTATTCAGACACGGAAAGACACGAAGTCAGCTCAATCCAGTTTGGGTAAATGCACACTCTTTTGGATCCCTGTTCTATATCCAGCTGGGGTTTTTTGCCTCTTAAACTTTACTAATAAATCAAGTTTTAAAGAGGAAAAAACTGCTAGACACTGTCAAACCACTGTGAAAGATTAGGATCAGGAGATGTGGGCTGGCTTTTGATGAACTATTTAACAACTCAAAATATCCTTTAACAGCAACAGATCAGTTATATTCTGTTCTTGCAGACAACAAGCACATCAAGAAAGCGAAGACCACAAACCCACCAAGTGATTGTACATAAATTGGATAGAAGTGTGTGCCAGTCCTGGGCTCAGCACTGCACCTCTGTCAGGAAGGGGCAGCCTCTCAGAAGCTTGACAGGTCACACCTTGGGCAGTAAGGGATGAAATATTAAAAGTCTAATTAAAGTAAAGCAGTGACAGCTCAGCTGTCTTCACAGTGTACTCAGATACCAGCCCATCTGATGTAGCTTACTCTGACTTAATTAAGAGTGTCTCACAGCTGTATGGCAATCCTTCACTTGGAGGAGAAAAAAATCCCCTTTCCCACTGCCCCTATCTCCAACAAAACTCCAAAAATATATGTGCCAACTGACACACATAAGGTGAAATCCAAAAAAAATTTCAGCAGAGATAAATACGATCCTAAACTATGGGTTTGTCTAAGTAGCATGGGAAAAAGAATCTGGGTTTTTTTAGAGAAAAATATAGAAACATATCACTTATATGTAGTTTAGAATCCAGTGACAATTTACATCTCAAGTTATTAATAACAATTGCAGACCACTGTGATAATCTTATTTGAAGGGTTTTTTTCAAGCTAACCTCCTGAACATGGACATTGCTATTTTGACCTATGTCAAAATTGAATGGCATTATCCATGGTTAGTGAAGAGTCTGTAAATTCCCATGTTGGTGCCTTTGGAGAATCTTCTAACATTATGGAGAAGCAGAGCGAAACAGGGAGCTGGAAAATGTTAAAAAGAAAATGAGTTTCTGGATTGATTAAACTGGATTTATATCAAGTACTACCAGTAATAGCACACAAGAAACCCAAATATACATTAAGTGAAATGCGCAAAAACTAAAAAAGAATGCAGCAGTTACAATATAGATGGTTTATACTAGCAGGGTTAGAATACAAGCCCCTATTACTATCGAGAACATTTTATTTTTAATAGGTAAAATACTGTTCAATTGTCTCATGTCACTGATACAACATCTTTTCAAAGTACTCTGAATTGCTAAAACCCCAGTTAAAAAAAAAATCTTATTTCTCCATCTGCACAGGATTTTCCTCTCCTTCACCACCTTTCAAATAAGCTATCTCAATAATTCCCACATTATCAAAAAAGCCCACACACTAACCTTTCTGAAGATGGAATTGTTAGGGCAATGTCTTGTATTGTTTAGGTTTGTAACTAACTGACATTTTCTGCATGAAAGTTCACAGAAGGGCACATTAAATTACACTGTGCAGACGCACTATGCAAAAGTCCATGGACCACATATTTTATTAAAAAAAAAATTAAAAGAGGGGGGCAGGATTAGATACATACAGCCCAGTGCTGTTCAACTTATCCACTAAAGGGTAGATTGATTTGAGTGTTTTGCCCAAGTGCAGGAAAAATGGAATCCAGTTTTTGACAAAATACTTCCCTTCTTGCAGATACAATTACTAAAACTTGAAGGAATATAGAGCTAACAAAAAAAAAAAAACCCTTAAAAATGCATAAAGAAGGAATATTCCACCCTCAGTTTGATGTGTTTTCAGATATTATTTTATGTTTGCTACCACCTAAATTTGGTTGGAGCGTGATTCCACTTACAATGCTTTATTTACTGTGCCTGCTTGAAATAGTGGCTGTGTGGTCTCTGAAATTAGAAAATGGAATCACAACAAAGAGTGGAAGACCCTTTTTCACCCATGGTGGGATAAAATAATATTTTCCAAAGACTGTCAGAAATGAAATTATCTCATACCTTAACTCAGCGTGTGGAGTGAAAGAAGTTTAGCTTTTCTCCCAGACACAGTCTAGATACTTTACAACCCACACAAACTTGCCTCATGTGAGCTCACTACATGGGAGATACATGTACTCATGTGAACCCCTAAAATAAACAGCAGCACAAGCGGCACTGCCTGATTGTTAAGTCAAAGTGTAGACTATGAATTTGTACCTCTCAATTTACCTTTAAATTAAGAGAGAAATTGAGAGAAAATTGAGAGAAATCCACCAAACAATGAAACCTGAGGCCAAACGTCGTGGAGTGGATTACAGTGCGAAAGTCCCTGGGATGGAGCTGAGTAAGCAGAACAGCTCTGTCCTTAGAGCATCACAGCTGAAGTAGCAAGTCTTGTGCTAACAAAGCCTTAATTTTTTCAGCTGCTGTTCCCATACAGTGCTGTCCTGTCAGGATATCTTGGCAGGCTTCCAGCCAGGTTCAAACAGGCTGAAAGGGGGGAACTCCTCTTTACAAGCCTCTGTGTGCTGGAGACATGATACTACACACTCTGCACCAAAGTCGGAGGAAGGTTCCTCTGAAAATGAAAGCTAAGGCCAAAGAAAGAATTGAATTTTTTGAGTAAAAATGGAGCAAAAGCCTTTTCTAGCAGCTGATAATGAACTTTTCACTTACTATAATGATATTATAGCATGCATAAAACCCAAGAACATGGAAGATTAATCTAGAGCCCAGAAACTGGTAAAGAGGCCAGACCAGTGCCTCCTGCAGTGATGGGACAGCATTAGGCCATGGCCTTTCAACAGACTCACAGGCTACAGGCAACAGGCACCACTATAGTCATCTCACCTGACCTACTGCTTCACTAATAATTTTCTGTAACTATCTTCTCTTATCTTTCTGAAAAATACAATAGCTT